AAACGACCCATTTCTCTCAAATATTGTTCACAAACCTTGACATGCCACACCTGTGAGGTGGGATGGATTGTCTTGGCAAAGGAGAAGTGCTCACTAACACAGATTTAGACAGATTTGTGAACAATATTTGAGAGAAATGGGTCTTTTGTGTATGTAGAAAAATTTTCCGATGTTTGACTTCAACTCATGAAAAATGGGAGCAAAAACAAGAGTGTTGCGTTTATATTTTTGTTCAGTGTATATACACATACTGTACACACATCCAGAAGGGATATTTAGGCACACAGAGAGATTTTAGACTTCAGTGACCGGACTGGGGAAACAAACTTAACGCAGACTTAAATACATTGAACTAATGACAGCAACAAGAAACAGCTGGTAAACACGGGGATTCCACACAGGGCATAGATGAGGGGGCATGGCACACGGGAGGATTGGACAAGCGGGGTATGACAGGACCCCCCCCCCCCCGAAAGGCACGCACTCTGGGCGTGCCTAAGAGGAGTGAAGGATGAGACCGGGCACATGAGGAAACCTGGGGAAACAAAAGCCAAAAAACCATCAACGAAACATGGGGAACAGCACAGACACACAGAACAGGTACAAGGAGAACAACTCGGACAACAAGCGACAAACCACAGGGAACGCAGACAGACACAGACACCAAAGACGGAAACACAGGACTCAGGATCACGAAAGGGAACAACAGAGGGACAACACCAGGGGCCAGACCCACAGGAGGCACAAAGGCAGGGGGAAATGGGGAGCCAGAGGGAACCCCGGCAGGCGAAAGGTGGAAGTCGCAGCGGAAGCAGGCAACCGCGAGGCTGGAGCAGGAGGAACCCTCGGCAAGTGCAAGGGTGGAGCTAGAGGGAATGCCGAAGGGGGTGAGGAGGAAGGCGGAGGGAATAATGGAGGAGGCGAGGAGGAAGGTGAAGGGGAGACTGGCAGAGGGGAGGAAGGAATAGAAGCCGTGGCAGGTGAAGGCGTAGCCACAGCCGGCTAAGGTATAGGTGACCGACGAGTTGAAGACAGGGGACCTGTAGGCAACCGACGAGGTGTCGGAGGCGCCCGCCAGGCCAAAGCCAGAGGGACTGCAGGCAACTACTGAACAGGAGCTGGAGGACCCATAGGCGACCGCCAAGCCAAAGCCAGGGGCACCGAAGGCGAGCCAGGGGGCTGGGTGGGTGGGACCTGACCCCAGAACAGGTGTCCTCTCCCCCTTCGGGACATTGACAGCCGAGGTCCTGGCCAGGATCTGCCGTGCTGGGGTGACTCACTGGAGGGGTGCACTGATGCAGTTATCAGGGTTATCCCCGAGGGGTCCTACTCAAGCTCCTCCAACTCCACTAAGGAGGGAGGAGTGGTGGTCTGGCAATCAGGGACCTCCTCGGGGACAGGGACTAGGGCCATGGAAGCAGGGTCCAGTGGATTTGGGGCAGGGACTGGAGCAGGAGTCTCAGGGTGGAGCATCAGCAGGTGGGACAGGAACCAGAGAGGGCGGAGCATCAGCCGCCAGGGCAGGAACCACAAAGGGCAGAGCATCAGCCACCAGGACAGGAACCACAGAGGGCGGAGCATCAGCCACTGGGAGAGGAACCTCTGGGTTTAGTGTGGACCGGTGGTGGTGACATCAGGCGCAAACACCGCTGGATTCAGAATCGGGAGGGGTTCTTGTGACGGCTCCTAGGAGTACCTCCGGTGTGTCCTCCCGTCATCAGCCTTTCTACTGTTTCCTCCATCCTGCAGCTTGCAGCGAAGTCTGGGGCACTTCGGTTAGCTCAAACCCAGGGCTATCCACCACATCATCGACTCCCCTTCTAAGCCACCTTAGATTATCTCGCATATTCTGTTGTATCTCAGGAGGATCGGACAAGCTGGGCATGACACACACACCCCAGCCTGGATTAACCAATGGGGCATTGGGGCCGGTGAACAGGGTCAACCACATATTCTGGGTCTAATAAAAAGCAGCGCAACTGTCCATAAGCCCCTCCACCACATCCCATTCACAAGTATCTTTTAAGAAGTGAATGTGATTTAATATCGAATATATTTAATATGATCATATAGCCTAACCCCAACCCTATCGTTTTCCCTATATTACGCACATTTCTGAATTTTCTCAGCCTCCAGTGCTTTGGTTCTTTCTGACATACCATCATGTATGTGTGCTATTGCCCAGGAAATTTAATACTCTTAATCCGGACCTGTGTGCAGATTACTGTCCGTTCAGTGATACACAGAGATGTCACTGGCCCTCCACACACAAACACATCGTAGTATAAGACTGACACAAAAAGAGTCACAGCGCTGTACTGAACTCCAGCTCTATTTTTCATACCAGGAAGAGCTGCGTTTAATCTTTCCCAGTGTCCCTACACATTCACATGTCCTGCTCGAACCTGGGGCCAGAGCCTGGACCCTCCTTTATATCAGACCTGAATGAGCCATGCCTCTGAGCTCTCTGCCTTTTTTTCAACTATCCCTGACAAAATTCCTATTCTTTATCCATCCATCCATCTTCCAGCTGCTTATACGGTGTCCAGACAAGGCGAGCCTGACACCAATCCCAGGAAACAAGCGGATAAGGCAGCGGACACCCTGGGGGGGATGTCCATCCATCACTGGGTGATCACTCACAGTCTGGGTGATCACTCACAGTATAGCCAAAAAAGTGAGAACAATTAGTCTAAGTGCAGAGAGCAGGAGCAGTATGTGGAAAAAGGTGTCTCTCCTTTTCACTCTCTCCTTTAGGCTGGCAGGTATCAAACCTGTGTGAACAGCAGCTGAGGCAGCCAACTGGAGACCAGCAGGGTCTGATCTCCCAGAAACTCTTCCTGGAAGGCAGGTCGACTGTGAGACCGGTTTTCATGAGCTATACAATAGGGATGAGCACTAATCAAAAGCTTTGCGGGTAACTTAAGTCTGAAAGAGTGACCATGTGGGTCAGGAAGGGTCCCAAACAGGGATGATTCTGGGATTTTTACAGTTTGGGTACAGAGGAGCAGGTCAGTGGATGGTGCTCTCTCTCTCTCTCTCTCTCTCTCTCTCTCTCTCACCCTCAGCCATGAACACCAGGAGAAGAGGAGCACCTCTGCCAGGATGTTTCCCATCCACTTCAGCTCAGCCTTCAGCACCATCGCCCACAGAGCACTGAGGCATATTAAAGGAACAGACAATCTGATATGCAGAGAATTCACTTCCCATGTCAGACCCTCCAAATGCCTGTTGAGCCATTTCTGCTGATTTGATTTCCTGTTTAACCCTGACAAGGTTAGTCAGTGACTTCTGCAATTTTGACATTTTACTGGTTTACATGGCACCATTGAGATTGTATGAAATGTACCAGATATATCTGAACAGTGTCAGCTAACAGAGCTGACTTTCACATCACCCATATCATTTTTATTTTCACTAATCTTGATTCTAAAATATACACACATGGATACTTTGGGGGTTTTTGTGGTTTGCTTCATAATGTCTTGTGATGTCTTGGTCCCAGGTCCACAGTCCGCTGATTCAGAGGAAAAAAACACTCAACACGTGTTGAGTATAAACCTCCACCAATGTTTGATAACCACTTTATACAGTTCAGCCTATCCCAGGAAGCACAAAGCACAAGTTTGTATGTATTTATATAATGACAACATGCAGAATGATAGAGTAAGAAAACAACTTAAATTGCTAATAACTTTAGTTAATTCATTGGTTTTCCCTAATGTTAACTGTGTAAAATACATAAATAATTTAACAACTCCAGCATTATCCCCATTAAAGCAATCTTTGTTAATTATTCATACAGATATCTTACATGACAAAAGCATGAAATCTGATGAATTTATAGTGATTTTAATAAATATAAAAAGTATAAATGACAGCATTAAAAATGATTCTTTTACAAAAATAATCATTTTAATTTGACAGAAGGAATCGTTTTGGACATTATGCTAACAAAACCTGTCACTGTTATTTAAAGATATACACACAGACACATATACAGGTGGGTTCAAGGTTCGAGGTCACTGCACAGAAATTTCACATAAAAACTTATTTTTAAAAAGTATTAATTTCTATTTTGTTGTCATTTCCACTTATAAATGGGCAAAATGCATAATTTACAAGACATCTGTAAAATTGTTGTTTTATTGTATTTATTTTCATATTCATTATTTCTGCTTCTCACATAAAATATTAAATACTCCAAATATAAAGAGATGTTAGTTAGCTTACTTAGCACAGTTTCACAGCTGTCCTGTACCAAAGCTGAAACCCAGGATAGAGGGGCTCAGTGAACGTGGCCTGGACCCTGTGCAGGAGGGTCACTGTGTCAGAGACGCTGTAGAAGGACAGAGTTCCTGCCCTGTGATCCAGGTACACTCCTATCCTGGGGGAGGGGGAGCCAGATACTGCAGTTTCCTCGTTATTGTGCCAGAATGAGTAACTGGAGGTTGAGCAGCACAAACGCCAGGATTTGTAATTGTATCCAAGCCAGCTGGCATCACTCCCTCCTTTCCTGCTGATCCCTTTATATGTGACGCCTATACCGACCCCATTCCCGCTCCACTCAACCTCCCAGTAGCAGCGCCCAGTCAGACCCTCTGTACACAGCACTTGGGGGAGTGAGTCAAACCTCTCCTGGTGATCAAGATATGACTGTGTCTCTTCCTTCCATGTCACCACTCTGTTCCCCTCAGACAGATGGAGGTTATTGTTTGCTGTGTTGGGGTCCAGAGTGAGCTGACAGGAATCTGATGGAGGAGAAGGTCAGAAGGTGATGTTTTGGTCTTATTCACTCCTTATATTAAAGAAGATTGTTCAATGTTTTGGTATGTTTTAATGCTTTGAAAAGTATTTGGATAAGAATATATAAATAAATGTATGTTTAGCCGTTCATGTTTATACAGTAAGGTCATATTCACAACAGGGATGC